GAGAGAGAGAGAGAGAGAGAGAGAGAGAGAGAGAGAGAGAGAGAGAGAGAGAGAGAATGGTAGCAGTAGTAGTGGCAGCAAGGGACCCCCAAGTCTAATGGCTTCCTCAGAGCTAACAGCCCATCGAGATAGAATGAGTCAGGGCAACACAACTATTTCCCTCCAGAAGTTGAAATGCCGGGGTATATGTGAAAGTCTTTTCATTCCTAACTACAGTGTAAAGTGGCTTTCCCTAACGTATTAACTCACTGTAAGCAGTTATACACATTAAAACGTAGGCAATATTCTGTGTGCCAATGTGCCAGTGCTTAATGACGAAAGCCTTTGGTTTGTGTTTTTGTGACTATTTTTTTAAGTTAGCTTACAGAGTAGTGGGCTTCATTGTGGTGTTTCCGTACACAAGAATCATTATGTGAAAGGCTTTTGCACATAGTTACAGCAGCCATGTGAACAGAATGTAAGTTACGAGTTTGTTTATTACATTCATATCCAGACATTAGTGGCCATGAAATAAGACTCTTGATTTTCACCCAGGCCGTGCCATCTCTCTGGAATGTCTGTATATCAGCCTAATTCACACTGATCCTTAAACCCCCTAAACTGAAGAATTCCTCCACAGATTCTCAGGATCCCCTGAGATATCATATTCTGGACAGCAGGCTCACCATTATAAGCTCCGGTGACAAAAATAAATCCACTTTCGTCAATAGCTGCACAGGTTAGTTCAACATTGAAGCCGTGAGGGTCTAGAATCTGGTATATTTGGAGGCCCGTCTCAAGTTCCCATACCTATAGAGGAAGAAAACATCAGCAAAGCCCAGGTATTCCCTGTATCTGCCCTTCATTTCTGAGCAAAGTTTTTACCATTGTCAAAGTTTTCAAATTGGTTCTCTCCACACCTTCCCCAGCGCCCCGCCCTGAGTGCTGGCTCGCTCCCAGGCAAGCTGTGAAATTTGACTTCTGTGCTATCGCTGAGTATGCCTACTGAGCGTCAGGTGGCCAAGGCAGTGTCTGATGTGGGAGAAATAGTCACATGGAGACTTTAGACCACTGAGGGCACGCTTTTGAAGGGGATACTAGACCTCATCCCCTCCTCTTCCTCTCCCTCCCTCTGAATACTATGAGGTGAGGATCTGCTCTTTCTCACATCCTACCACAATGCATTGCCTCATAGAACACCCCAAAGTAACTAGGCTAATCTACCATGCACTGAACCTCCCCGCCCCCCACCAAAGCCATGCAACAAAGCAAATATTCCCTTCTTTAAAGTTGATTATCTCAGGTATTTTGTCATGGTAATGGAAAAATTACCTTATCCCTATAAGGATGAAACAAAGGTGGCAATGGGATAGAAACACAATAATTAATTAACAGTGCTTAATTAACTCTTCAGTGACACTATGGGTCGCGGGACAAGTGTGGTGAGCAGTATAATACATGGGCAAATCCTAGAGAAAGCTGTCTGGTCGTTTCAGGTAGTTCTCTGGCTAGATATGGGACACAGTGATAGAGAAAGGGGTATCAGGCCATCTGTGAAGCAGGCTGGCAGTATTAGGAAAAGTCCAGAAACACCATGGCTCATCGATCCCGCTCATGGGAAACACATAGAAGACAAACCCATAGAGCTAGGACCTGCATCCCTTCTACTTTGTGGCTGTGCCAAGTTCAGGTGTAAATTTTCTCATCAGTGAGCAACTGAAGCAGCTGTCAGCACTGGGGCTGGTGGCATGGGGTAGCACCCCCAGAGGGCCAGAGGTGGAGAGGTGTGTTTCTCTCCCAGGGAACTGATGGGGAGTTAGGGCTGCCAGGTGAAAGACGAGAGGGAGCTGCTGAAATAACTCACGGCTGCGTGAGAGCCGCTGTCTGGGAAGTACTAGGGACCTGATTCAGACGAAGTATGTCTGGCCCAGAGGCCACATTCTCAGCCTCTGGGTGTTGTGTGTAGACAAGGTCCTTAGAGGAGAGAGACGAATGTGGGTCCCTGTGTAAATGGGTCTCGAGGGCATGCATCTGCAAATCTGAACTCTAATCCCTCTCCATCTAATAGGGCAGAAAAACTCCCTTAGATACTCTTCCCCACCGCCTATTGGCAAAGAGAAGACACCAAGCTTAGGAGCGCACTATCCCACAAATGCAGGGCAGGGTTTATTTTAGTCTATCTGTGTCCTATGATAATTAACCGAGTTTAGGGGATTCAGGCTTGAGAAAATATCCAGCCGCTGACCACAGAAGGTTAACATAGGAGGAATTTGACGGGTTCCCAGAGGGATGCTGTCTACCAGGCCTCCGCTCAATGCATTCATGAATTAACAGGATGGAAACACCCCTGGTGTCTCTGCTAGATGGTTTCAGCGGTTGTAACGACAAGCATAGTCAACATGACTAAGAACTATGCCACTCAACACAGCAGTGGGTGTGGCCAGAGGTACAGAGCCCAAGGTCATGGCTGCTCACAGCAGACAGACTTAGGCTCATGTCCCACGTTTACGAGAACAATAGAATCTGAGGCAGGTCATTTATCTCTGAGTCCTGTCTTCCCCACCTTTAGAACAGAAGCCTCTGTCTGTCTGCAAAGATCTTTCATGAGATTTAAATAAGATCATAGACTTAGATGTCTTGGTATATAACCTGCACCTGGAAGAGTTATGACACATGGCTACTCAATGTCTCTCCCTTCCTTCTTAGTAGACAACCTCCAGTGAAATCTAAATATGGGCTATTCTTTCTCCTTAATGTATCTTCTTTAAAGTTTCTATTTGACTCAAGGGGTGAAGCTGCTTTTAATCAAGCCTATGACCTGACTTTGACCCATGAGGCCCACACGACAGGAGGAGAGAATTGACACCCACAGGTTGTCCTCTGGTCTCCACACATACACCCTTTCCAAACAAACTAATATATAAATATAATATGGTTAATTTTCTGTTTTTAACCAAACATGTGGCTTGAACTGGCTTAAAACACTTCTTTATCATGTATTCCTGATAGCTTAAAGAACTTCGATATATTGTCTCAGTCTATTACCACTACACATAAAACCCTATGTTTTATCTATCTGAAGATAGCATTTCATTTGCTCAGTCTCTTTCTGCCTAGGAAGTCCTTCCACACTCACCTTGATTACGGACTCTGAACAGATAGTGAGCACTTGATGGAAGTATTTGTTGTACAGCATGACATTGATTTCTCGTTCATGAGAGTGAGGAACCTGCTTTGTGTCCTGTACCATCCTGGTCAACGGATACATGTCTATAACGCTCGATCCTGGAAAGGAAGGAAAGAAGGAGGACATCACAATGCTGGGTGAGGTTGATGGTGCATCCTTGTATTCCACGCTTTGGAGACTGAAACAGGAAGACCATGGGTCCCAGGCCAACCGCACCTGCATAGTGACATTGCATCTTAAAAGTGAAATGAAGTAAAGAATGAAAAATTTAGCAAAAGCATCTCATCCCTAAATTGTCCTTATCAGAAATCTGGAATTTCACAGAGGATATGACCCAACCAACTAGGTTTGGAGCCAGTCGGTCAGTGAGATGAGAGTATAAATGATCAGTGCCTTAGCATTTAATACGGTGAGGCCACTGTTGCCTCCTCCAGAGCATCTCTGGCAAACACAGCAAATAAGATGCAGCCAGGGAAAAGCGTTCATTGGAGACCTCATTATCTTTCAAGTGCAGGTCATTTTGAACCTGTTTTTATAGTGTGCTCCCTGTTCCTGACTGTGCCTCTCCAGTGTGTGCACGTTGGTGGTGCTGTCTACCAGCCGTCTGCTGAATCGAGGCTTGCTCTGGTGATTGAAATTAGTCAGAGAGTTCCTCAAGCCACCAGATGATAACACGTGCTGTGAACATGGTCTGATTAAATATAATGAATGAGAATGATTGCAGGCCAGTGATTGCAACATCAATAGTAAAATTAATTTCCAAATCACCATGTAGTTAGCTTGGTCAGGGCACTGACTGGGAAGCAGGATTCTTGCATTTTCCTACGGGTATGACTTAATTCTCAAAATCAGGATCTTGTGTGCTTCAGTTTATGCGATGTCTAGAAACACTGCTAAAAATTATCAAACCACTCTGTAGTTCATTTTTATTTATTTATTTGGTTTTTTCAAGTCAGGGTTTCTCTGTGTAGCCCTGGTTGTCCTGGAACTTTCTCTGTAGGCCAGGCTGGCCTCGAACTCAAAGATCCGCCTGCCTTTGCTTCTTAGAGACATGTGCCACCACTACACAGTACATTCTGGGGTTCAAACAAAAGCAGAAGTTCTGAGAATAGAAAGCTTCTTCCCACTTTATTGATGTGGCTATCAATTTGTCACCAAGGACGCAGCGGTGGCTTTCTCACATCATTCCAAAGGAACTCTCAAAGTCTTAGCAGCAGTTACCAAGGTGTTTAGATTTTGTGACACAGCCTGTTCATATCTATAGGACTGAGATGGCTCATCAGGTAATGTTACTCAATTCAAACACCCCTACCAGGAAACGTGAGAACTGGAAAGCCATTGGGCTCTCAGAGGCACACTTGGAATATCTCCATAAATCCTTAAACATGATACCAACAGTTCACACGGCTGGGTCTGCCTGTGAAGAGCTGACACTTTCCTTCCCTTTTGGCTAGTTATCATAGAGCAAAGAAAATAATCAGGGAAAGGAATGGATGCAGATGCAGGAGTCAAAAGTTCCGAGATCGAGTCTCGGCTCTCACCTGCCTGAGGTTTGGCTTGTGCATTTGGGAAACGTCGGTAAAGAATTCTGGCCTCAAAGGGTGACTGCGCAGAGGAAACGAAGAGTGAAAAGGCAACACATAGCTGTGGTCATCATCGCCGGCATATTGATGACGGCACTGACAGTCACAATGTGTTCACCAAGCATTGAGTGCAGAGTTGCTGCCCACATGGCTCAGAAAACTACTCTACCTGATGTCACAGGAATCTAAGCACAAATTAATACTCCTGATGTAATCCTGATGTCAGCTGAGAGCTGTGCTTTTAAATTATTGATGGATTTTATGTGCATTCGCGCTTTGCCTACATGTATGTCTGTGTGAGGATGTGATGGCTGCACTTTTGATGATCAGGCAATACACAGAGCTCAGTATTTTGCAAACAGGAGCACCACCAAAAAGTATATAAAAGTGGAAAGAATTCTTGGCTTTTCTATTCTCTATCTTCTTTGTCTTGGTATTTTAGCCCTTCTTTATGCTGATGATAATTGGGATAGAAACGCTGAACCCGATAATCAAGCAGACAAGGTTTGGTATGAAGAGGTGACATCTGTGAAGGGTCATTAATGTGTTCATTTCAGATGAGGTCACATAGAGGAGAAGCATTCGTAACCGAAACTAAGTTCTCTTTTACAGGGTGGAAAATGATTTATTGAGCATGAAGTGATGCTTCTCTTCTAACCCAGGACAAATAAACAACACCAAATTAAAAATAATTATGTTCCCCAACAGAGACAGCACCAATCGCTTCCCTGCCTTAATTAATCCCGCAGGAACTCAGAGCAGGTGGTCAGTGGTAATATGCCTAGGAAAGACAATTTTGGCTTAGTGTTCCAGAGGGTAGAGCTGCTATTAATATAACCAGTTTTCTTCTAAAAGCTGAAGGCTGTGCAAGTGAACAGTAGCCAAGCCAAATGCCTAACAAAGTTCTTGAAAACCCTTAAAACAATTTGGCAACCAATGCATTGTATTTAGGACCCATCTTCCTGGATTCTGGCCTCTCTCTACTGCTCTTTTTCTGGAAGCAAAGGCAGTTGAGAAGGTCTGTGCCCACCTTACAGAGTGACTAGCTCCTTACCAGAATTGTTTTATCTCAGAAAATAAGTTATGCTGGCACATACCAGGGTCATCACCCTATGAAAGTACCAATTTACTGCATTCGAGAGGCAGACTGGAGCCCAGATATAGCAACAGTTCTCTCATCCCTTTCTGCTTCACCTAGGCCATGTACCCCTAGGCTCATCATTCTAGAGAACTGACCTGGTATTTTCATAAAAGGGAGGTTGCATAGCTCATCAACTAACATAGGATAAGAAACTGAAATAAATACTTATACTATCACTAACCATGGTTAGTCATTTCCTCTTTTTTTGTTTATTTTCATAGTGAGTGCTGAAAAGCTATTCTTTTTAAAACGTAAAAGATATGAGATTAATTTGCTATGCATCAAGTAGACATACCTGTAATGAGCATGCCATGGTTGGCGTCATACACCATGGAGTAAATCTGCATGTCTCCCGGCCCTCCTTGGCTATCGTGGAAGACTTGCAATACTGATAGGGTCTGGATATCCCACACTCGGAAGACCTGGAGAACAAGCAGAATTCACCAATTTCCACACCATTGTTCTCACATGGGGCAGTTAAGTCTTTAAATGAATTATGCTTTTATAAACTTGCAATGAAATGCCGCTTACATTGTGAGCACATAGGTGCTCTGTTTCAAGTTGGCTCTTGGTTCCAGCGTTGGTTATTCACATGGAATTCCCAGTTGAAAGCGGTGCTTAAGGCTTTATCTTTCATCACTGGGTTCCCCTGTACTATTCACAATGCCCAGGAAACAGAACTAATCTAGGCGTCTGTTAAGAGATGAATGGATAAAGAAAATCTGCTACATATACATAATAGAATTTTGTACAGCCATCAAGAAAAATGAAGTTATGACAATCACAAGAAAATAGATGCAACTGGAAATCACGTAAAGTGAAATAAGCCAGACTCGGAAAGAAAGAGAAAACTACTTCATATCTTCTCTTCTAGGGAAACTGGACTTTAAATTGAGAGTGTGTATCTATATGTGTGTATGCAAGTCATAAAATGAGAAAGGAAATCCTGGGGGAGCCGGAAGAAATGCTCATGGAATTTGGAGTTAGAGAAAGTAATGGAAGGGAAGACTGTCTGAAGATAAGGGAGCAGCTATGGGGACAGAAAGACAGTAAGTAAATGAGAAGAAAACACAATGGCACGGATGCATAAAGAGGCCATTTCTTAGGTATCTGTAATACGGTGGTGCCGTTGAGAGAAAAGAGCAGCGATACGGAAGTGGTCCTACGGGTACTTGTTGTTTTCTGTCAACAGCTTCAACAAGAGTCGGGCAGTGTTTGAGGGAAGGTGTTGGTGTCAAACCTTGGGAGAGCCTACCTAGAGCCAGTCAGCCCTGGGGAGACTTAGGAAGAAAACAAGGACAAACTGTTTCAGAAAGAGGCTGAGTTGGTGTAAGGAACAAGCATAGAAGATTCTCACTTTCACCAGACCAATCTTGGGGTGACAGAATGGAATATTTACAAGTCACAATTAAATCTTGCCTACGGACAAGTAAACATAAATTACAAAATAAATTCAGAGTCTCGTAGCAGTAAGAGTTAAAATGTTGGTTTTTTTTTTTTTCAAACAACTTGTGAGTGCGAGAATTAAATTAAAGGATTACTTTAGCCTTGGGAAAAAACTGAATTATGAAGCTGATTAACTTTGAGAAAAGGGTGGGGGGAGGAGCTAAAGTTGCTAGCCACAAAACATCATAGAGAAGGGCAAAGGAAAGGTTTTGCCCAAAGCCCTCTGTAAGGAACAATGAATAAATAAAGATAAAGGGAAGCGTGTTCCGATTCACCAAAGGCTTCTGGTTTTTCTTCTGGCAAGCTTCATGTCAGTTGCTGTTAGCCAAAGGCTTTAATATCTCCCCACTTCCTCGCTTTGATGAGTGTTTGTCATAGAATTAGCAGAGTAGAATATCTGCGTTTTAGGAGTTAGTGTCAGATTCATAGGAAAGAGAACGTCCTAGTCTGAAAAGGTGCATTGCTAACAAGAGGCTCATATCTGTGAGCATACAGTGACGGGAACTGGCAGAGGCGCTTCACTCAAGTGTCATGACCAATGGAAGCGCTCTCAGCATCACTGCTGCTGGCTACAGGGAGGAGATGGTCATTCCATTGCACTATAAGTACTCAATGGAAGCACCAGCATCGAGACATAGTGAAAACATCATCACTAGAGTCTATCTTTAGAAACACAGTGTCATTTAAATGAAGTGCGCAATTTAAGAACAGATTAGTCTATCATATACTAAGGGAGTCTGGGATTTGACTTGCCTTTCTAAACTTTGCCTAATGGCCACAAGAAGTTAATTATTGAATCAAATTGGGTTGACCCAATAGATGGCGTGATTTTACATTGCAATAAACCTGGAAATGTGTGAGGCAATGAAACCCCTTTGAGAGTCATCACCTTGGAGAGATGGTACATTTCAGGATGGGGCATGTATGACTGAAGTACTAAGGATTATGTACAATACACAACAAATGGATGGTAGATATTTGACATTATTTCTATAGGGAATTCAATGCAAAATGTGCTTACTTGGTTGCTGCCAGCCAATTGATATGCAAAAAAGTTAGCAAGGTAGAACAAGACTTGCTAATTTTATTGTATTGTTCTCACATTTTTCCCCTCTGTATGATAATTGGCAAGTAAAAAAAATGAGGTAAAGACATCAGCACACACATTATTTAAATATTAAATACTCAGGGGAGGAGCTCATAAATCCTCACCCCTAGTCAAGAATCTGACAGTTGATGGCTTTTAGGAGGGGGAGAGATGGGTGGGTCAACCATGCTCCCGTGATGGTCCTACATCTAAAAGTATATGGTCAGCGCAGACTGGATTCAGAAGATTATTAAGAAAGAGAGAGAGACAGACAGACAGACAGAGAAAAAAGCAGAGAGAGAGAGAGAGAGACAGAGAGACAGAGAGAGAGACAGAGAGAGAGATAGAGAGAGACAGAGAGAGAGACAGAGAGAGAAAGACAAAATAAGTTGGTAGAGAGGAGGTGGCAGTGGATCTCAGAGGAGATGGAAGAAATCTGAGATGAATATGATCAAAACACATTGTACACATCAAAACCATAGTACTTTTGCTTTTATACCTTGAGCTAAGTAAGCCTGTTGTATTTACCCCATTTGGCTCCTTTCAAGCTACTTCTTTGTGATACCCAACAAGCACTATGTAAACATGCCTGTAAGTTTAAACCTCTGCGCTTTTGCCTCCCTCAAGGTCCCACTTATTTGTCAAAGTTTTATTAGTTTGCTCAAACTCCTTTTCCCGGTTCCCACCATTTTCACTGCATTCATTTCGGCCTTTTGCTTTGTGAGAAGAGGGAAGCCATCTGAGAGAGAAGCATGCCTGTGACTGGTTGCATGCCGCCACAAGGCGACAGTGTGACCTCTGCCAGTTATTGCCTAGAATTCATTTTCCCTCTCATGTACAATTTACAGTCATCGTATGTGTGTGCGTGTGTGTGCGTGCGTGCGTGTGGTGCTGAGGTGACTAAGCACCCATTCTAATATAGCAGTATCCCCCTTAACCCTATAAGGTTATGATTAACATTAAATGAGTGGGCCACATCAACTACTTGGCACCTTGCCAGATATTTGGTATCCTTTGATAGAAGATGGTTATCATTGTAACACAGCAGATTGTTTGGATGTTGATGCAGTTGTAGTTATAGTCCAATTAGCCATAGGTGCTGAGGAATTACTCTGAAGCTATATGCATAGTCACCTATAAATATGTCTGAAAATTTGAAGACGTTCTCTTTTTAACCCATAGGGAATGCGTTTTGCTGCATATCATCTAGTGATGATCTGACTATATATGTTTTCCTACATGGTAATTTTTTTTTTTGTTTTCTAGCCTGCATTGGGTGAATTATCATTTGTCCTTAAATTTCAAATGTTAATTTCATCATATAAGACTCACACCCACACCCACACGCCTACCAATCCTTGAATTATCTCTTTTGTTCCACAGCCCTAACTCCTCTTGCCTGTCTACTGCTGATGTAGGAGGGTCATCTGTTTATGTGTTACTTTCATTGGTTAATAAAGAGACTGCCTTGGCCTTTGATAGGAGAGCAGCTTAGATAGGCGGAATAGACAGAACAGAATGCTGGGAAGAAGGGAAGTGAGGGAGATGCCATGCTTCTCCTGCCCAAGATGGACGTGGGTTAGAATCTTCCCAGTAAGCCACAACCTCGTGTTGATATACAGATTATTAAAAATGGGTTAATTAAGATGTGAGAGTTAGCCAATAAGAGGCTAGAACTAATGGGCTAGGCAGTGTTTAAAAGAATACAGTTTCCATGTAATTATTTCGGGTAAAGCTAGCCGCGAGCCGGGTGGCAGAAAGCGGCCCGCTGCTCCTTCAACACACTGCTGTTTTATTGGTTGCAGCTTTAATATATTTTCACAGCTGATTGTCATCCCACATTTACATTTTCCAGAGAAATGACAGCAGTAAGTCCCTTTAGGTCACATGACCTCACCAGCTCACTTAGCAAGCTAGGTTTACAGTAGCAGGCATGAATTCCCTCTTGCTCAGTGGGCCTTAAGCCCAATCCTGGCTGCTGATTATCTCCAGGATGCAACTGCCACTATTACATCCCTAACTGGATCATGCCATGGTTGTGACTGGTGTGCTTTGTCAGCTGTACAGCTTAGTAGGAGCACTGATTGCTTTGTCGGCTGTACAGCTTAGTAGGACTACTGATTGCTTTCCTCCCTCAGCAGCTTGCACAGCACCTTCAGATCCTATGAGAGTTAGTCTTCAAGTAGGAGGCTTATGCACCAATTCCAGCTTGATTCCTCTAGAATATTCTTTTTACACTAGCTATAAATTTGACAAATAACTACTGAAACATTTCAACAACATTAACAAATAGATTAGTGGATACCATCTGTTACAGGGTACTAGTCTCATGTAGGAAGATCTTATATATTTCTGATTTATGCTCTCAAATAAATATATCTCGGTGGAGCTTCATAGCTATCTCTTAATAATCTTATATGTATGTGTATGTTATATGTATGATATGTATATATGACGCATGTTCATGTTTCTGTATATGTATGTGTGCACTGTGTGCATGGCAGAGGTGATAATCATTTATCTTTGCATATGATATACATATGACGGGTATATATGACACATGTTCATGTTTCTGTATGTGTGTGCACACTGTGTGCATGGCATAGGTACAGCTGTCAGAAGACAACGTTGTGTGTAGGATTCATTTTCTACTTGTTCGTTTATAAGAATGTCTTCCTTTTCACCACCGTATAAGCCAGGCTAGCTGACCTGTGAGTTTTCAGAGATCCTCCTGTCTCTGTCTACCATCTCTGTATGAGTACAGGTGTTACAGGTGTTCATGCTATATGTCTGGCTTTTACATGGGTTCAGGGGATTCAAACTCAGCACAGTTTATAATATTCTTAGATCCACTGACTATATATAAATATATATGTATATAATATATATGCTCCTCATCAAGGAAGCTTCTTCTTGCAGCAAATGGAAACTGCTACAGAAATTCTCAACTGGTCAAAGTACAGAGAACAACAGACATGGGTGTCCATCACCAGCCAACACAGCTACAATGCAACTCATACTTGAGACTCAGGGAATATTGTAGAAGAGAGAGGCAGGAAGCTTGTGAGAGCCAGAACACTCAAGTCTCTCCTGCCAGATCATGTCTTTTTACACATGACAGGGAGCTGCACCCACGGAATCTCAACAGCATGGTCACTTACACAAGCCTTGCACATTGAGGACACCAGGTGACGAGCCAGTTTGGATGGAGAAAATCACCCAAGGCCACACCCCTAAATGGAGAGCTAAAGTCTGACAATGTCTGCTGAGCAAGGGAAACAAACCTTCTCCAGGGATGAGCGCTGGCAGGTCATTCCATTCCATGTGATCACTCCTAACCACGTAGAAGCAACACTAAATGGACTCAGCAGGTTGTTTGCATACATATGTAAATATACACAGCAAAATAAAGGAGAGGGAGTGAGGATCAATGGGAGGGGCTGTGGGGGAGAAGGAGGGACTGAAGTCATGGAAATGTAATGCTTATCTATGAGATTCTCAGAAAAAAATATAATCGCTATCACAACTAACCACATTAATTGAACTTATTCTTCTTAAAACTTTTTAATAGATTGTATTTAATCAAACAAATACACTTTTTCAGATATATTGCAAATATTCAAGACTCTCATTGATAACATTTATAACTTATATTTTTCTTTTGGAATTACTTTACTATACATGCATGCATGTGTATATGTGTGTGTGTATGCATGTGCTAGGCCTCCCTGTAGCTGACTTTAAGAACAAACAGTTTCATTTTGGTTCTACTATTTTCTTCTTGTTACCTTTGCGGAGGAAAGGCTGATGACGTGTTGTTCTTTCTCATTGCTTACGATCTCTGTGATGCTGAACATGTGCCCCACCAGCTTCCCAACTGGCTTCGTGCTGATATTGGGGTGCCACAACCGAAGGACCTTATCATCTCCTAGAAAGAACGATAGTGACACAGGCCTCGTATTCTCAAGTGCTCACAAGTTAAAAGGTGTCCTCATTTTATTTCTCTTGCCGTGAAAATGAAAAAACAACAACAACAAAAAGCCAACCGTAACCAAAAGTAACTTAAGGGAGAAACGGTTTATTTTAGTTCACGATTTTGGGTTACAGTCCATCAGAGTAGGAGTGTAAAGGTAGCAGGAATTTAAAACAAGTACCCACAGCACACCCACCCACCCACCCACACACCCACCATCAACTGCCAAGATTAGAGAGAAATGAATGCATGCCTGCTTATTGCTCATCTAGTGGTCTCTACTCTTCTACAGTAGGAATGAAGTCGCCCACTTTCAGACTGGGTTTCCCCACATCAATGACTGCAACCAAGATAATCCTCATCAGCAAACCCACAGGTCAATGGGAATTAGGCAGCCCCCCACTGAGACCTTCTTTCCTGGTGATTCTAGGCTGTGGCAAGTTGACATTTAAAACCCACCATCACCGAAAGCATCTCTCATTCACCCAGATCCTAGTCTCCTTTCTAAGGAACCACAGCCCACAGCTCCCTAGAGGCATTCCTTCTGTGGCTGACTTGAAGACATTAGCCTTGTTTTAGATCTGTCTGTGATCAACGTATTTTCACATACAAATGTGAATTCCCATAAATATTTCATGAGTACTTTCCTTGATTCAATACTTCCTACTCTGTCACGCATTAATACATTATTTATACTCTATTTACTTCCAAAACATATTCCAGGCAGCTGGTCTTTTGTTTCTACAGTCTAAATGATGCAAACATTATAATAATAAAAGAAATCAAGGGAAGAGGCAAACTGCTCATAATCTCCAGCATGGACAAATCATTTGTCTTTTATTTCCCCATTTTCCTTTTCCTGCAGAACCACAAGCACAAGACATTTAAATGTAATTACTATCATAGCACACATTTTGTCTTTTAATTGTTAAAATCATCTGAGTACACAGTAAAATAAGGAAATAGTATAGAAGAGTGACATTTTTGTAAAAATAAATAAATAAATAAAGTCTTCTCCCAGCCTGCTACCTTATCCCCCAATTTCTACTTTTATGCAATACGGGAAATCATTGTTAACACTTTTTGCAGTTTATTTAGAAGTTTGTGTGTGTGTGTGTGTGTGTGTGTGTGTGTGTGTGTGAGAGAGAGAGAGAGAGAGAGAGAGAGAGAGAGAGAGAGAGAGAGAGGAAGAACACCAGAGATCAAGTATCAAGTTCAGGTGTCTTCCGCAAGGGTGCTCCATCTTGATTTTTGAGACAAGGTCTCTGAGCGTGGAGAGCACTGATGGCCACCAAAACTGCATGCATTTATAGTTTGTACTGAGACATTTCCACACTTGTATGTAATAGAAAGATCAGGATAATATCTTTTATCCCAGAAATGTGCTTCTCTGTGTTGGAAACTTTGTAAAATCCTGTCTACCAGATATGTTGAAATATTCAATTAATAGCTTCAACCATAGTCATCCCATTATGTTGCAGAATGTTGGAAGGAGTTCCTCCTTCCCAAATGTGTGCCTCTAACCAACCATTCATCATCTCTCCCCATCCTGCCCATCTTGACACCCTGCCCGGGCTCGGGTAGCTACTCTACTCTCTTTTTTAAGATCAACGCTGTAGTTTTTTTTTTCTTTTTTTTTTTAAGTAAATTTTATTTAATTATAAAAGTTTCCATTTCCGCCCCCCCTCCCAACACCCTCCCACTCCCCCCACTCCCCCTCCTCCTCCCTCTTCATCCCCCAGGGCAGTCAGGGTTTCCTGCCCTGTGGGAAGTTCCAGTTCCTTCCCCCTCCCTCCAGGTCCAGGAAGGTGAGTGTCCAAACAGACTGGATCCCCAAAATCCAGTATATGTAGAGGAAACAGGTCCCAGTGTCATAGTCAATGGCTTTTCAGAAAGACTTCGGGCCAGCCACAGTCAGAGAGTCCGGCCAAATTCCGAGAATCTGGTTAGATCACGTCCTCGTTCAGTCCCAGTCCAACTGGCCTTGGTAAACTCTCATCAGATCCGTTCCCTTGTATCAGTGGGTGATAGCATCCCTCGCCGTACTGATTTCGTTTTTCATGTTCTTCCTCCTTCTGCTCCTCATTTGGACCTCGGGGGGCTCAGTCCGGTGCTCCAATGTGGGTCTCCGACTGTATCGCCGTCCTTCGCCAGATGAAGGATCTATGGTGATATTTGTAATAGCCAGAACCTGGAAACAGCCTAGGTGCCCCTCAATAGAAGAATGGTTAAAAAAGGTGTGAAACATATACACATTAGAGTTTTACTCAGCGGTAAAAAACAATGACATCTTGAATTTTGCATGCAAATGGATGGAAATAGAAAATGCTTTACTGAGTGAGGTAAGCCAGACCCAAAAAGAGGAACACGGTATGTATTCACTCATAAGTGGATTCTAACCATAATTAAAGGTCTTTGAGCCTATTATTCGTGATCCTAGAGAAGCTAAATAAGAAGACGAACCTGATGAAGATTATTTAGCTACCCGCCAGGAGGTAGGAAATAGACAAGAGTCCCAGGTAACCTCGGGTGCATGGGGGGGTGGGAGGGTCGATGGAAGGGGAGAGGGTTAGAGAGAAGGGAGTAGGGGAGGAACGGGGAAAGCTTGGTGGCCGGGAATGGGGGGGGGGGAGGGAGGAAGGATGAATATGGGATCAGGGAAGAATATATTTCAACTAAGGGAGCCATTTTAGGGTTTACAGGAGACTTGATTATATATGGGATCCCAGGTCCAAGGAGAGATCCCCCAGATTGCTCTCTGGACAGAGGAGAGGGTGCCTGAATCGGCCGTGGCCCATGACCATACTGATGTATATTTTGCTTATCACCATAGATCCTTCATCTGGCGAAGGACAACGCTGTAGTTTTCACACAGAAAGAGAACTTATATTTGTCTTTCTGTGTTTGCCTTATTTCGTCAGCATGATGTCCTCAAGTTTGTCCATGTTGCTAGAAATGATAGAATACCATCCACTTCCATAGTTAAATAACTTCCCATTGATAGTTCGTAACTTCTTAACCACCATCCATGACATTTTCTTCTCAGATTCTGGATTTTCTTTTGATCTTATTCAGCAGTGCTGTAAGGAACAGTCATCTGTGTGTTCATGTTTGCTCCTTAGATCAGTTGTCAACAGTAAGTTCCCAAAAGTAGAAACGTGATGTTAAATCATATTTATGACCTTAAGACACACTGCCGACTTGCTTTCCAAAAGGTTTACGTACTATCCCAAGGCCACTAACTTTATCTGTCTGACCATCACACGGATGCTGTGATTTAAAGTGTCAGTCACTGTAATGCAGCTAAAATTATACATCAGTTTGCTTGGCATGAGTGCTGAGGAATGAATGAATTCAGGATCCCTTGCTTGTGCTGCAAGTGCTCTTACATGGAGCCATCCCCTCAACCTCTTGTTCCCACTTTCTTATATATTATTCTAAACTCATTTCTAAGTCCTTAAACTGAATAATTTAATACTTTAAATTATTTAACCCTGAGGAGTTAATTTCTTGTAATATAAGGATGGTGGATCATACAATTTCTCAACTATTATCTTGACATTCTGTAACACTTTTATGATTTGGCTTCCAGGATGATATCTAATGAGTTATTTGTGAAATAGAAAATCCAATATCTTAAAAAATAATCTATATTTAAAAATCATTACACAATTTACTCTTTTCAAAAGCATAAGTAAAACATAGTTACGCATCTGTTCAAATAAGAAAGGCTGCTTGTAAAAAAGAAATTCCAAAATATACATGACACAAACAATGAACAGATCTTTCTTTGCAGCCTTGTTAAATCTTGGCTCTTGTAGCTCATTCCCTGGAAGTTAGTACCTGACCATTCCTCACTGGGAATAGTCTGGGGAAGATGGTCTAGTTGAGCTGCCCAGAAGAGAAGATCTGCATGTGAAGCAAAGCTAGTCAGCCTCTGCATGTGTACGCATGCGTGTGTGTGACCTTTAAGTGTATACTTGTGTGTTTTCATAGAGTGGGTGCCCACATGCCTCTGGGTGCTTGAGGAAATCAGAAGGGAACCTTTGGAAACCACGCTCTCCTCTTCTACCTTCTACCTTGGTTCTCATAGCCAAGGGACAGTTATTTATAAACTCTACCTTTAACTTAACTGTTTGACTTAGTCGCTAGCATGCATTTGGCCACTCACAGGACTGGCTTGCCTTTGTATGCTAGATACTTTTGTATGAGTAGACATATCTATGCTGAAGGAGCCAGTTAGGTAAGGATACAATTGGGTGACTTGGAAGCTCGATATTCACAGGTTAGTCAAAGGTGGTAGATTTAGATGCTCCAACAACATCTGGTTATTTTGTTGAGGCCCAAGGAAAAGGATTATAGTATTTTCTCTTCCCTTTTCATTGTCTCCTGATCCATTCTTCAAGGATATACTTCCACAATTAAAAAAAAAAAAAAAACAACAACTGAGTGCTGTGTCAATGTACTATCCCACTCCATAGTCATTCATTATTATACATTTATAATAAATAACCTCCTAGGCTATTCATTGAGGCAGAATCCCGTTCAGCTTACAGCAATATCCTATCAGGTGATACACAATATCCTATCAGGTGATACACAATATCCTATCAGGTGATACACAGAAAGAACTCAGCAAGTTGTTCCTGAGCTGTTCCCGTTGGTTGCTATGGGCGCTGCACCTCAGAGGTTTACCTGCTAAATGCCAAGGGATAGGGATGGGGAGAACATGTATCTAACCCAAAATGGAACCTGGGCTGATTGTCTAGTCCTTTTGTGAAGGTCAGTTACATCATTTAGGGACTCAGATCTTGCAGTAGCACGAAAAAGAAGATGAAAAGCGAGGACTCGGGTGTCTCTTATTTGCTGGAGACCAAATTGGGCCCTCTCAAAATCCATGGTGAAGCCAAAAGCATCAATGTGGGGTACTTGGAGAGATAATTAGCTTTAAATAA